AAAATGCCTTTTTGAAAGCTACTATTATGGTTGCGGAAGAAAAGACAAATAAATTGATTATCTATGCGTTTACAATTAATGTTCTGACCGCAAAGATTTTCAATGTTTTTGTCAGTTTCATTTCCTGTTCGTTTGCTTGTTTGTCTCTTCAATTCTTAATTAAGAGTGGAAAGACGGATTGCCAGCATTGTCATGGGCTGGATTATGCTCTGATGAGCTGACGCACGTAATAATGATATAAGAGGAATTACGCGAAGTACATCTTAGGAAGTCACGTTCCTTACTTTTATTGACCCCTTGACTTTCCTTCAAAAGCGACGACGAAAGCCCCAATTAGACATCCTGGCTTATGAACCCACTTCAACGTATTACCTTTCCGTTTTTTATAATCCTCCCATTAAACGTCTCGATTTCACTTAGCTTGTAAGGCATTCGCACACTCAGACAAGATGTTTAAATTCAAGTTTGCGCAATCAGACGTTTGATCTTCTGAGGTCGCAAACATTTTCGGAATAAATGGGAGAGATACATAACAGCTCGTTACAGCGTTAATTATTATCCATATTTATCCCTAATCGCATCAGATGTAGGTAAATCATTGTTTGGAATACTTTTGGGAGAGGAGAACTACCCCATCACTCGCATCGAAACTTTCTGCCCCTACTCTGATCATGAGTTGAGTATGACGTAGATTGCATTAGTTTCCATCAATACTGGTCTCTTAGTACTACACGTGGTTCAATTTTTACTGAAATGAGAAAAGCAATGAAAAATTATTCTTTTATGTATTCAACGCAAGGCACGCTCGTACTTTAGAATACTTTTCTTTCCACTGTCGGAAGAAATAGGGGGACATGAGAAAGCTCCTACAAAAATAATAAAGTAAAATATTGCTAAACTATTGGAGAACTGTTGAAATGCAAGGATAAACAAGTTACATAAGAAAAAAGTAAAAGAGGGTCATGAATAATTACTATAAACAAAACTTGCTTTGAAAAAGTAAAACTTTATTTCACGCAATGATGATACTGCTTCTTATAACCAGATAAATAAATGAATTCACTTCGCGCCAATAAACAATGTCCCGATTGCGTTGATTGTTTTTTTTTTATTTTGTTTGTTTCCCAAGTTTTTAACACCAAATGTCTTTTTTCTTCAGCTGTTAAAAAGAACATAAATTTTGATGAAATATTTTTACTTAGGTCCCTTTTTCCGAATTTCCTTCGTGGCAAGCGTGTTTGAGGTTCATATTTCGAAATTTAAGCATTGCTCGCACACCGCTTATCACCGCTGCAAAGTTCCTCCGCTGACCGAAGACCGGTGTTTTCGGGTCCATTTGAAACCATGAATGATTTAGCGCCTCAGAAGCTGTCATTCTCTCGCTGGGTTTGACAACAATTAATCGCCGCACAAAGTCCTTGGCTTCCTCTGAAACATTGTCCCAATATGGCGAAGGCATAGTAAAATGACCTTGTAGAATAGACAGTAGTAATTTTTCGTCGCTGCTACTCCAAAATGGCGGGTAGCCTACCAACAGAATGAATGATATGACGCCACACGCCCACATGTCCACTGGCTGACCGACCATTTCTTCTAAAATTGTCTCTGGCGCGAGGAACAGGGGCGCGCCACTTGCTTCACAACTGATGACGTCAGAGTCGCGTGGCAGTCTTCGAGCCAAGCCAAAGTCAGCGAGTTTTACCATCAATTGTTCGGAAGTTGGGGTTCGACTGAGGAGAAGGTTGTCAGGCTTGACGTCTCGATGGATAATTCGCTTGGCATGAAGGTACTCTAAGGCTTATAAAAGCTGTGAACAAAAAAGAGAAATCAGTTTAGACCGTAGACCCCTTTTGACTTGGTTGGGGACCAAAATCACACCAGCTGCCCTTGTATTAAGCTCTTTGATATACAAACTAATAACAATACATTTGCAGCTATCCGATATTTTGTATTGAAACCTTGCCGTTTTCAAGGCCGGGGCTGTTCCGCCATACGCTCGAAGAAGAATTTTTTAAACCCGGCCTTTTATTGAGAAGCGAAACTTATTTGGCGACAGTGTTGAGAACGTTGTCTTGTCAAAGAACCTTTTTTGAAATGTCTTGACATCGATCTGGGAAATCGAAATAAAACTGCGTTTATTTTTCATTACATATCGATGAGTACTTTTTTATAACAACTTTAAGCTGTTCTGAGTTCCTGATAGAACTTGTCAAAACTGAAAACATGAGGCGTCCTCCTGTGGTGTTCACATTTTTATATTTTGGCTTCCGTGCGACAATTTTAACGACCCTAAAATCTTAACTCAAAATACTCCAAAGTAGCTCACTTTTAGCTCACGTATCCCGGTTCAGAGAAACTGCTTAAGCTGGCGAACTTGTTCGCTCACGAACTATCGTAAAGCGATTCAAAACGGACGTAGCTCAGTGTAGTATGGGAGGTTCTGTAATATTGAGAGTTTGGTTCCTCATCAAACGTATACTTATAAGTCCTTGAAAACAGAAATTCGAACCACAGAGGTCACGATAGTCACAAGATATACTAGTGACGTATATTCAATCACAATGGAGCATCACTTATCGATCAGCAGAGACGGGACTTACATTCATCATATAAACCTGTGGAAGGAACTAGCCACCTACAAATAAAACCTGCTCAGGACATAATCCCTCTCTCAAAAACCAGACAAAACACCATTATAATTCCTTTTTTTCCGTGAAATGAAAGTTCCGTCAATGTGCTAACTGGATCCCGAAGCAAATGTTCAACTAGAATTTTCTAAATAAGGTCTATGAATAAAAAAGAGAAAAATTCAAGAATGATTGAAGAAATCTTACTTGTTTTATGATAGACCGTGCTTGTTGTTCACTGCAAACGCTTTGTCCCAAAATTTCATCAAACAAACTTCCACCATCAACATGTTCACAAACGAAATGCAAAGAAAAGTTTTCCCGGAAAGTTTGGTGCAACGAAACGATATTTTCGTGTTGCAAATTCTTCCAAATCTCCATCTCCTCTCTTACTGCATCGCTGAAAGAGAAGTCTTCACCAAGCCGTATTTCCTTCACTGCGAACGTTTTACCACTCTTCTTCTCTTGGCACTTATAGACCTTAGCGAATGATCCCTCTCCGATGAGCTCTTGAATTTCAAATTCATCCTTGAATATATCCGAATCTCGTTTAAAATAACGCGATGGCATCTTAAAATGATTCAGACTTGACCACACGATGTTTTGCTCGCTTTGACAATCAGAAGTTTAGAAAGTTCCTAAATAGTTGAAACACCGTGACCCGAGTGTATAATTATCAATTGCGTCATTTCAGATAACCAATCAGAGGCCTTAAACGCCGAGATTCCTGGGGCGGTGATACAGGAGAGGATTTCCTGTGCTATTTTTGGTACATTTGCTAACTTATCAGCTTCTTTTGGCTCTAAACTCAGATTTCATCGATATTTTTTTTTTCACAACACAGACACGTAGATATGAGATACGATCACAGATTACTTCGGCGCGATCCATCTTAACCAGCTGAGTATGGTCGGCTTTGTTGCGAAGTCTTAAATCTTAATCTTTCGTATGAGCCAATAAACAAATTTTTTATTTAGAATTATATGGCGGTTTCCGTGTCAACCGTATTTCTTCATGTTAGCCTTCACGTTTGCCACCAAATTAAAACTGATGACCTCTCTTACCAATTATTTTTCTTGTTGACAGATAGTTACAGCCTGCTGGTCGCAGTCGATCGCATTTAGCAAACGCAAAGTAAATTTGGATAGTTTCAAATTTCGCAAACAAAATTATTCCGATGTTCCGCTTAGGAAATGAGCGAATTATTAGTTCAGAGTCAGTTGTTCCTTCTGTGGGTGTGTCGTTTCAGTTGTTTACTGATTAGCATGCTTCGAATTCTGGAGGTGAAATGACTAAAGCACACCCAGATATGATCACTCGGCAAGAGTAGAGACCGAAAAGGGAGTTTTGTGCTATTTATATTTGCTCTTTCAGCTTCTTCTGATAGAAGACAAAAAGTTGTACTCTGAGGTGCATGATCGAAAAGAAAATTGTCCGTTTAAAATTCGCAAACAAATTCAATGTATCCTCGACTAGTTATTTCATAGGTCCCCCAACTGAAGACAATTTCGCCGACTCCATAATATCCCTAAAATGACTAAAATCAAGGCCTATGACGCTCCGTTTTAGATCATCCAGTTTCATATTATTTACTCATCCGATTGTACGAGAACGAATCGGTCGATAATGACGCTACAAAGTATGCCAGCATGTTCAAGATTTATGCGCTTCCCGAAGCCGGATCAGTCATTATTTATCGCCTGGTAAGGGGCGAGGGGAGGGGGGGAACTTTTGAGGGAATCAATCCCAAGGATTTTTAGGGGGAACAGGGTGAAACATCATTCGTCGCCAACAGAGTATAAATGGGGGACTAGTATGGAAAATAAAACATCCTTTTTCATGGTCTCTTTAATGGTTGTGGTTGTCTTTTTTTCAAGCCGAGAACGTTAATTGAACTACACGCACACGTTATTTAAGACATGGAACCGATCTTATTTTTTGTAGAGAGGATACAGCCAAAATTTAGGTAATTGTAAGACCTGAGCAGGTGAAAACTTGGGCCACGAAGACTCCCATACAAAATAACTGTGGCCGGACATCGTCGTCGGGACATCATAGCGTGTAACGCCCCACGAACTGAATACATTCTTTAGCGTTGAGCGCGGCGGCTGAAATCAGTTGTTTTTAATTCCAAAGCAGCACGATAGCATGTGCCAATGAAATGAGTTAATTAATTTCATGTTACGTCTAGTTTAGACGGATACCGATTAAAACACATCCATCTCTCAGCATTCCGACAATTTCTTGACTTAATCAATCACATACAAATGAAAAATACTGAACAAAATTACTGAAGTAAATCTTTACTGTAAAGAGATATCAAATGTTAGATAAATATTGGAAAGCGCCTTTCCTCCTTGATTGCCAATGATACACTGCCATCCGGAGGGCGTTCTTGAACCAACCCATTGCTAATCTGATCAGAGTTTGCCACGACCCATGATTTGGGGAGTTGACGAAGGTCAAAATTGTTTAAACAAGTGTTGCATGATCCTGTTTTTCTTCAGTTCTGTTTTATCTGATTATATCGTAAATCAGTCCTATTTATAGAAGAGTTTCCTCGTGAGGTTTTCAGGCAAATGAAGGTCGAGGACTCGATCAGTCCATCGAGTTTGTCCTTAGATCCTCTTGAGAAAGGAAAGATCGCAGGTCTATTTCCCGAACTGCAGGAAATGATCGCAGTATACTTCAACCAAAATGCCTCTCGGTTGCGACAGAATACAGTGCTTTGATCAACCGAAGATGGGGAAGTTGGGGCGAGTTCGTCAGTAGGCCGTGTGAAGACTTGGAATCTAGACTCCCGCAAGAATCAAAATGGCCGCTGCTTGGCGTTCAAATCTTGGTAAACATGTTAGAGAAATCCGTATTCACTTATGTCAGAAGTCCCAGAGTAGTCAAGGTGTAAGGTAACAAACTATGAAGGTTAATTGTGTCACATTTTTTTACTTAACCATTCTATAACGTTATTTGCGTAATTATTCTATGATGAGACTCTCCCTAGTGGACTAGATCGCCAGGCCAGCAACATAAATACTAAATAATAATTATGTTCGTTAAAAATATATACGACACCAGACAGTTACAAACAGTAGCAAAAAATAACCCAAGCCAAGTTATTTTGTGGCTCGTTGAAGTCACTGATAATCTTAAGTCGATTGGTTCGTTACATGTATTGGTCATTTAGTCTAAAAACTTTTTATGACGCTGATAGACCTTTGTTTCAAGGTGCTTCCACACCGCAGTGTTACTTACCCTATCCTAATCAGTTGTGAAAATTTTTATAAAAAAAAAAAAAGAAATTTACAGACATACAAATTTCTTTATCTCATCAAAGACAGAAATTTTGCAGTTTTAGTAACTCTAATCCAAATAATTTTCAAACAATCCCTTCAGGGTGGGTGTTTGCGTTCTTCGTGTTTTTTCTTTTTTTCCTTTTTGTACAAGCATTTTATTAACTTGTGGAATTTCTAATCAGGGACTTTTTGGAGAAATATTACATTGGCATCAAAAAAGAGAACCCAAAAGTTCCCATTCTGGTTCGGGAATGTAGTGGAATTCAACCAAAGATGTATGCACGATATGGTATGAACTCAAATAGAGACATTCTATATTCATTTGAAAAGTATTTGACCCTCTTGTGACAAGTGATAAACAAAATGATTCGCCACAAAGACTGAAAAGGAAAACGCTTTAAATGATTTGCGAAATGGAGTTAATGACATTGTCCAGAAAGCTTGGAGACCCTTTTTTCATCGCTCATGTTGTTTGTGTGACAATGCTGTTGTCATTGAGTATAGGCTAACCCTAATTAGCTCCCGCTGGTAACCAAGACAGAATTTCTTCATGGCTCATGTTGTTTGTGTGACAATGCCGTTGTCATTGAGTATAGGCTAACCCTATTAGCTCCCGCTGGTAACCAAGACAGAATTTCTTCTTACAATGTCAAGCAGATAAGTGATGAGAATAAAGCAAAATATCAATAAGGGGATTAAAAGTCGATCCAATACCAAATTCTCTAAACTCACATCATAGTAATTGTAGGGTAGATTGTGCAGAGAATCACTAATGAAATCTTGGGAGTGAAACAGTAAAACTTGGCTAACTGAATGTGACATCTCTTTATCTCCTTCAGATCATGGAAAGGAGAACTCAGTCCAACTGAACAATATGAATGGTGATTCAGTCTTACAAGCAATGGAGCAGCTTGTTACATCAGGAGCACCATAAAATATTTATGATTGATTCTGTAACATAATCCATTGCAGGGAAGGGCAGAAAATTGTTTTTTTCAGCCTGCATTTGAATTTCCTTAAGAGTGCCTGCACATTTGTGTTTTCATCTTCAGTCTCTGTGTTGTTTCTATGTAATTGAGGTATTGATGGATGTTTGACAAATAATTAAAGATTTAATTTTTTTTTATCTATGGTCAATAATTGATTTGTCAGTCTTGTTTGAGGTTCCTGCTGCTAAATGGATCTTAACTGTACCTTATAATTTCCAATCAAAAGTGAACATTTAGGATATCATCAACATATCAAAGAAGTTCATCAGTAGGGTTTGCCTGAAATCAATCCCCCCTGCTTGCATAGAAAAGTGCAATATTTAGGCCTGTCAGTGATCAAAAGGGGTTCACCAACAAAAAATTCTTGTACGTTTTAAGTAATCAAGTTCAACATATCCAATTTCACTGAAACACTTTATGGTGTAATGTAAGCAGACCAAAGCTTGCATGCATCATTATGTGCACAACTTAAAGACACAGAATTCTTTATATGGTAAACATGAGAACCATATTTTTAAAGTTGTCTGACACACTCAGTCTGGTAATCAGGTTATAGAAAAAAGTATCATATATTTAGAAAGAAGCATACTTTTGAACAGGAAAAATTTGGAAAGTTGTCCCATTAAACAAGGTGAAATGTGATAATTAACATCATCAAGAAATTACATCTGTGGGGGGTTGGTTTATAACAGTTTTTTAATAAAAGAAAAGAAAAGCACTCTGTCTTTATCTGGCCTAAATCCAAACCTAGATTAACAATCATAGCTATTCAACCTAAGTGTGACTAGCCAGGTTTACAGTTAAAATCTACCACAAGTAAGGTATCAGAACTGCAGTGCTTCGGCGATAATCTTGGTAGGCTGGTAGATGTCCCCATTTCTTCAGACCCTGCCTTTCCAGAATTGGAATGCCACTGACACGTGTCAACAGATAAGCCACAAACATAGGGGAGACAGCACTCAAGTACTGGTAACCAGACATCACTGTGGAAGCTGGCAGAAACAAGCTAGACCACATCAACATCTCGCCAAGATAGTTGGGATGTCGGCAAAGGCTCCAGAGCCCAGAGGAAATCCACTTGCCTTTATTGGCTACATTAGCTTTGAACTGCGACTTCTGGTAATCTGCACCTGCTTCTAGTATGAACCCGATTAGCCAGAAAACCCATCCTAAGTAATCCCTCCATGTCAGCTCTTCGTCTTTCGTAGAGGTGTTCAGGATAAGGGTTGGTAGTAGAGTCACGAGGATCCAAACGCCTTGAATTGTCCAGTAGATGAAAAACAAGCGGGGATTCCCTCGAACCTTGTCGAAACGGCTATCCTTTCCGTCCTGGATTATCCTGTGAAACAGATACAAGCCAAGTCGAAGTCCCCAAACCGTAATACAGCTAGACTGGACAATCTGACGCAGGTTTACTTTCCTTTGCCATCTCAGTGTTAGCAACGTTAGGAAGACGAAGGTGGACGAACCGGCCAAATCGTAAAACTTTTCAGTTTGAAGAATGGATGCAACCACCCAACAAACCCACTGAATACCAAAGTCTATGGCTGCTGCAGTAAAAAGAGGGCTTTTCATGCCAGCAGAGAGAAAGCTGCCCATTTATACAGATAAGTTTTGAAAGGCAAACACAGTACTATAACAGAAAACAACTTCCAACTGTGATTGCGTGACGTGAAGTCGACCAAGCTTTTTCTTCATGTCCGCAGTTTAAAATATATTCCTGAAAACCTCAAATTAAAATAACTGATTTTAAAAGGGATAACGAGACGCTTATACCAATTCAGAACCCCTAGTTAGATATTCAACCAGAAGATTTACTCCTAATATTCTATAATGGGGCATATAAGGCGAGACCAAGGCAAATTTTACCACGATACACTTTGTGATAATGCACATGCCGTAATTAAATGGGTTTATGCTGGTTACGTAATCTGAGCCAGCTAAAATGCGGAGAAGCTACGTTTCTCTCTGCGAGGTCAAACAGAGATCAAACCTCCGTAGTCCGAGTACCAATAGTACGTTTTATTGAAACTTCCACTTTCCCCTCTGACGAAGGGGAAAATTCTTATAACCATGACTCGTTAATTTTCACCGCCTGTGTCCTCGACCTTTTCTCGACAGAAAGATTGGGGTGGAGTGGGTGGGACGGTATCGGCGAAGGAAACTCCAGTTGTGGTCACTTTTGACTCACATTTCTTAGCATTCTTCTGTTCGTTTTAATCAACGCTTTTGAAGGACAGAAAATTCCAAGGGAAGGCGAATTGACTTTCTAAGAAGTTAATTAAAAAATTAATGTCCAAAACGCTTAATGTGAGAACGGACATCAGGAAAAAGGAGAAATATTAAAGAAAAAGATGAAATAACCGAGAAATTTCTTTTCACAAGAGATAGATAGGTAAATACTGTGGGAATAGAGCGGCCTTTCATCATTCCCATGGCTTTTAAATAACTAGATTGCAGTGGACAAGGTGTGGCTTTATGAACACTCGCACCCCTGATGAATGTATGTGTTGTACTGGAGCTACAGTACAGCTGTGGTACCAAACCACCGCCACTCCAACAGCCTATATAATTTAGAGAATTAATCCAAATTGACTGCTCCATACAAAAGGAGTATCCAATATATACTTAAGAATGAAATAATTATACAGGAGTTTTCTCTTCACATTTGCAACTGATTTGCAGTATTGTACAAAGCAGTGTGTGAAAGGACTGTGTACAGTATTGACTGTTACACAGTCTTTTAACAGACAAGGGCAACACTTACAACCAACAGTACATGATGGCCACCAACTCATGGCTTTCAATTCAAGTAAAAATTAAATGACAGGTTAAGAAAATCCCAAGGAAAGAACCAACTTACCTCAAGAAAAGTGTGCACAATCAGCTGTGCAAATAATATCAAGTACTCACAAGTTAGACTGAAATGCCTGCTAGAATCTAATTAAACCATCTTTGTCAGAAATCCTGGAGCAAGGCAAAACTACCCCTATATCTTTATCTCTAAAACCCAAACATTGAAAACCACTTTTCAGTTTTGACTGCCTGGAATTTCTCAATAGGGAGAATTCCATGTTGTGTTAAGAAACACTCTGTACCCAGTAAAATTGTCTTTTCTCTTCACATGTTTGCAAGCAAATGTGATTACATAGCAACCTATTTCTCAAGAGAGCTGGAAAGTTGAGTTGCCTCTGATGCAGTTTTGTACTGATTAATTAATTTGAAAAACAAATTAGTACAATTCTATTGAGAAGAAATTACAGACCATCATTCAAAAAAGAAAACAAAAGAGATGGCATTTGGTCAACCATAGAAAATATTAACTTTCCAAAGTTGTCTAAGGTCGGCAAGCTTTCATGTAATGAATACTTAGTTATTCGTGAGGTCAGTAAAACTGACTTTTAGAGCTTGAAGTATTTCATTGAAAAAAGAAAAACTAGAAAATGACCAAGAACACTGATATAAAATTCAAATGATTTACTCCAAAAGACATCTCAGGCTCAACACCACTTGACTCTACAACTGAGGGCAAACTTAATGTTAGGTACACGAAAGTTAGTCAAACTTTAAATTATAGAAAAATTTTTTATTTATAAAATCAAAGGTTTACCTCTAGTTATTGTCTTACCTCAAGAAGAAAAAGATTTTATTAATAATTAGTATATCACCATTACATTGATCACTCCACATAGCAGTAAATTAAATTAAGTCATATCTGAGAGTAATCAGTAATCATAATTATAATACTAACCCTAGAACTCATAAGAATGATTGACATCTTATTTCTCCTTACGTCTTCAAAGTTAAATCATACATTAAGGTCATGGGAATAAGGGAAATTATTACCCACCAGAGAAGCTCTAGATTCTTAAACAAATTCTCTATTTCAGTTCCATAGAAAATGTAAAAACGACAGTATGAAGAATATGCATATAGATCTCAGGGTTAAGTCAAGTTAGAACTTACAATTTAATGCAAACTCTGATATTCAGAGCCAACCTGGTAATTTTGTTTCATGAAGATGTCAATCCACATTATAACTGACAGTTCACAGCAGAAAAAAGAAACATCACTATGGATAAAAATCCTCTAATCACACCTTTGGAACCTGACTTTCAAACTGTCCAAAACGTTGAACTTGTTACCTAAATAGGTCCACAACATGATTGAAGGAAGTACAAGACAAACATTTGACAATCTATCCCTAATCTTACTGCTTGAATGTTATTTAAGTGCACCGTATGCTAACATTGCCAGTCCATAGACATAGAATTTGATGGTTACTATTCCAAACCCCACATTTTTTATTTACATGTACAAATAATAATAATAATAAAATTGTTACTTAACTGACAGTAAGATTTGTAAGTCCAAGTGTAACTGTCCCACAGATAAATGAAAGAAGTTCAATGACACAGGATGATGTTGGGTAGTTTTCTTACTTTTTTTTTAAAGAAAGAATAACAGGTTGGTCTAGATTTTATGTCATCAATTATAAAGCCTTGTTGAAGAGCATGGATCTAGTTTTAAGTTTGGGGACCATGTTCAGTAAGTTCCTTTCCATTTTTAACTTTATGAACATTAGTGTGACTAGAGTACACTTTTGCATTTGATGTACTGTAAATCTCAAAATGAAAATGATCATCTTAATTTGAAACATAAATAAATTTATTACACGACTCAGGAAGTCAGAGGGCCAATAACTAAAATCAACCAATCATAATGCTCTATTGCCGGTCAATATTCTCTCAGTATTGGACCGGGCACTGTCCCAAATGGTCCCGAATGATACCGCACTTGTGTCCCTTTGAACTTCAGTCGTATAATAAATCTCTTATTAACCAAGCTTGCTCAGGACCATACTGGAAGAATATCGGCCCTCTGTCTTTTTTGTACAGACCTCGCTGCACTCGGTCCATACTGTCAAGACGTTGGGCCAATATTCTCCCAGTATGGCCCTAGCGCTTGGTTAATAAGATATATATATAAAATGGTAGCAAGCGATTGACACTAGACCGTAGAGTGAGGACAATAAAAATAATTTATTGTAAATTAACAGTTCTGCAAGAAATGCAAGAAAATGTTCACAAATAATTTCAGCCTTGATGAACTGCAAAATAGAACACTAAAGCTATAAACTAAGAGCTTCACATAACATGGTTATGCCACTTAATACAACACACACAAAAAAAATCCCTAGTTTTAAATTACTAACAGTTGTATAATTTACAGGGAAATTGAAAAGTTTTTCCTACCTGCTTAAACCCCCCTGTTTTAATAAATATTCACAGGCATCCTAATCTCTACATTCAAACAACACTTCCATATTCTTGAAAAATTTGCACTGAATTACTAAGTTTTATTCTCTAACTACACATAAATAATTATACATGTACAAGTTCTTTTAAAAGTTTTTTTTTCCAAATTTCCTTCATTAAGATTTACACTGCAAGGCAAAAATAATGTTCACTGAATGAAAGTCAGTGGCTTTTGCAATCTAGTTACTGTATATTATTTGACATTTGAAATTTAAATTTCATTTCTACTGTCAAAGCATTATGTTATCGTCATCACTGGAAGCATAGCCATTAGGGTCATCACCTATAACCTCTTGCTCCTGGTCTGATGCACTGGGCGACTCACTGCCAACAGACTGTACATCATCTGGACGCAGTTTGGGGAGGATGCTTTGATCAGGCCAAAGCCATGGCTTGTAGCTTGGTGCATGTATAGATTTCCATGCCTGATAACCTAGAGCAGCTTTGTGAACCTTGGTTACAACCTTATGCAAAAAGTAAGAAAAAAAAAACCATCACAAATAGTTGCAATTTCATGGTCAGGTACATGAAAGTTGCATGTTGAATTTAAGAGACAGTTTGTATTTTGTGATATTTAGACAGGCTGGCCCAGATCAGCTCAAAGCATTTAAATTGGGGCCTGTATAAACAATGACTAGGCCAGAACACAAAACCAGGAGCTACATTCCCTACTCTTTGTGATATGAGTGTGGGTTCTTTAATTAACATCTCCTAGCTGCTAACCAGTACAGAAAAGATGCAGGAGATGGGACCTACCATTTTTCATCCTTATCCAAGAAGACCGCATGTAGAATGTCTGACCATTTGCAGATATCACAGCAAAGGCAGCACATTCTCCTCAGTTATTTTAAGACCCTGAGTGTTGGTTCGGTCTGGGGCTTGAACCCATAACCTCCCACACTGCAGTCTGGAGCTCTACAACATGAGCTAACCAGGTGGCAGTAAATTCAACTTTTCTAGACTTCCCTTGCAATTTGTAAGGGTCGCATAGTTACACAAAAGCTCCAAATGAATTGAAAGATAGTTTTAACTTGTTAAGAATCCCCCTTGTTGCTGTACAATTGTTTGATGTTTCCTTGATTGCAACTTCTTTTACCCCTTTCAAGAATAAGAAAGGCCACAGTTCCTCTCTGTCATTTACAAAAATATTTCACTTGAGTAAAGGATGTATTTGTGAAAATAAAACCCTTCTGTTAGAGTGTGCAACTGTGAGGATCTCTCCTCATTGCATAAAATCTTATTCAACAGATCAAATATACACACATGTGTAATGAATAGAGAACATTCTCTTTGTCATTTAGATAAGTTGACCAAACCAGAAGTATTTTTCATTAACAAAAGTTCCCTCACAGACATACTGTGGGAGAGCTAGGTTCTCAAGTGTAGAAAATGAACTTGCAGATGACATGCAGTCATCTGGGAGTACTTCATTCACATCAACTTCCAACAAAAAAAAACAGAGCAACAACAACAACAACAAACAAAACAGAAACAAAAGGATAGTAACCTTTGGAGCTATCTTTGTTGCTGCCCTGTTAACCATCCATTTGGGTAAAATCCCTGTTCAAAAAAAAAAACCACTTAGTGATTAATTAGTTGTTCACAATAAACTAAAATCTCCCCAGAAGAAGACTCCTGTGCATCTCATAGTTATCATTGTGTTACATATGCCTTTTGTTGTCATTCTAGGATATTTATTGCATTTTTACAGTATGAATATATTTTTTGGCCCTTGTAATTCAAAACTAAAATTATTGTAACAGCACTCTATCACACTTTAATTTCTATTCATTTCCCAAAATATTCCAAACACAATTTTACAAAAAAATTAAAATAGATAAAGAAAATATAAAACACAACAATGACAAAAAATCTGCAAACTGCTAAACATTACCTTTTAGATCCACTTGTGAGACATACGTGAGAGAACAACCATCTCCTATTCTGCGTACATAATATCCACTAAGAATTGAATTACCACGGATTAAGCCTTTCTTCAAAGGTGCATCCTATGATAAAAATATTATCATCTTAGACTACCATCACACTACAAGAAAAGTTTGATTGGATGCAGCCACTATAGTGAGTTGTACAGAGACTTGTTTGAGGTTCCAATGTCTCACTTTTTGGCAAAAATTTCACGGAAGTTGTAGTTAACTCAGTTGCAAGTTATTTGATGTCTTTCTAATAATCTTTCAATCAACCATTCATTATTAATGATCATTTTGTTTCCTTCTGTAAAGTTCAATCAAGGGTAGAATTGATTCAAGAGCAGCATTTTTCATACCATTGACACCCCTAAAAGTGACTAGCATCTAATTTCTCCTTTTCACGGCCTAAATCTCACTTTAAGGTCTTGAGAATACAGAAAATGAAGCTCTTGATTGTTAAACTTCTCCTTGTCAGCACCATAGGAAATGTATAGATTTAACAGTATGGAGAATATGCATATTTATGTAAGGATGTGAAGTGTTAAACTAAAGGCAGTACCAAATGGAAATAACACACACACATGCACAACTGCTGATTCTCACCTTATGATTCACTGTGTGATTAAAAATAATGAAGTTATCTTCTTCCCAATACCAAGACCTCTGTGTTACAAAATCTCTGTTTTTCATTGGGGATGGGCATTTAACTATAATCAAAAGATAAGTGACAATAGTATGAGCCAATGGCAATTTTTATCATTGACTGTTAGAGGTAACCAGCAATAAATCTTTCTCACACCATCCAAATTTTCCTAATGAAACACCCTGAGCACTGCTAACAATATGAATTCCACCTCAGTAATGCAAAGTGGAGGAGACAAGTAGCAGTTTAGAGCCATTTCCAATTGTGTTGAAAGTACATGTAATCTCAAATTGCATACGTTTAGCTTTACTTTGCTCTGTGATTGGTTCTGAAAACTTGCTCCACTCCCTTGACCAACCAGTTACATGACTGAAACCAATCATGGTGACCCATACTTTCCCATGCTTTATGCAGTTTCCTTATTTTTATTTTGAGTTTTCATAGGCTCATTAGAGTATAAGTATTTCCCTTTCTTCTACATGTACTTTCCTGCTGTAATGACTGCTTTTAGTTCTACAACACTCAAGCAAAAAGCATAATCACTCACTGAATGCTACAAGACAATAAATGGACTGAATTGTCTGAATCCATATGAATTCCTTAACTTTGCAGACAAATACAGACCGCTGAGATCCAACCATCACTTCAAGCTTAAGATGAAATCTGCTAAGTTAAATTGCTATAAACACTCTTTCTTTCTTCACATTGTTAATTTATGGAACAATTTAAGAAAAGAGACCGCTGAAGCAAAAGACTTACTATAAGAACTTTTAGAAATAAGCTAGTTAATGAATTTTCTTAAAACACGATTCATACTAATTACCATTTTAAACTTTTATTACATAAATATACCCAATTGTATATATATAGTTTTTGAATCTATAGATAAGTAATTAGGATTTTTTAATATTGCTATATATGTTAAGGAGGTGGACTAGAAAGGGATAACCTCTTCTACCTCCTTTCACAATTTTTCGTGTATTTTTTGTTGTTAATGTATTGTTTGTTAGTTTTTGTTTGCTTTCTGTGTGTGATTAATTGTGAATAAACTACTATTATTATTATTATTATTATTATTATTATTATTATTATCATAGACTGACTGGAAAAAATTTAATTCAATAACTTCTAATACAGATCTCACTTTGTATTAACTGACCAAGTATGATGTAAAAAGAACATTACACTGACTTACTTGAGTAATAACCTATGTCATTATAACTGTCCAGTTGACATATTTCATAACAGTCTAGCATGTTCTCATCCCAACTTCTCCTGTAGTCTGCATCATGGAGAACATCGTACATTAATGAAAGTGAGACATCTTGAAAGTTGGTAACCACCTTGAATAAAGTCAAATAACAAGTACCCGTAAGGTTTTGTGTTAGCCAGAGTACAAAAAGGAATATTGGTAGCTGGATTTAACAATGCCATTGCCTTTGGAGAATTTATCTTACTATTTCACTCCTCACAGAAATATGGGATCTCCCAGAGGAGCACTTTATTCTAAACCCAGACAATTAAAAAGAAGTTCTCACAAAAAGACAGATTCACAAAAAATCTTAGGGCTTTTTGCATGTTTCAATAGAAAGTCAAGTTATTTCCAGGGTCATCAGATATTATGGTGATAATCTTCTACAGTTTAAGAACTGTCCTTTGCCACCATGTACTTCGTGACTGCAATGATGCATTAAAATTGCATAATTACACACAACTAAGACATTTTAGTCTAACAAGAAAGTTTTAAAAATAATAACTTTGCACTTAATATTGACCAAACAAATAACTTTGAACAGACTGAGTCACACTGTTCTTTATCTCCTAGCAAAAAAATAATTTACTCAAGTTTTACCAAGCTGGAATTGTGAATGGACCTGCTTCACAGAATTCAATTATTGGCTGTGTAAAAGTGCCATAGATGTTCACCTTAGTTTGTGTAACTTGGTGTGGGTTTTGGAGGTCTACAATAATCTTTTATGCAGCAAGCTTAAGTGCCGCTTGTTACATTCTGAACCATTTTTGTTTCAAACTATTAAAAATGTATTTATATACAAAGTAATCAAAATAATTTTACTTGAGCTGATAAATTACTTACATGTAGGGGAGGTCAAAATGTCATTCGATAGATAGATAGATAAGATAGATAGATAATAATCTTTAGACCTGGTGCACTCTCACAGAAGTGGTTTTCAGAATGGCCCTGTAAGCACCCACCCAACCCACCCCAGGGGAGGACATCCATCACACAGTATACTCGTGCGTGGGAAATTAACGTCTCCTACCCCTAACCCTGCAGGAGACGGGACCTCCATTTATTCGTCCCTATCCGAGAAGACTAGAATATCTAACCATTTCTTGATGTTACAGAAAGGAAGCATATTCTTCTCAGTTATTTTAAGACCTTGAGTGTTGGTCCGGCCGGGGCTCGAACCCTCGACCTCCCACACAACAGTCCAGCGCTCTATCCATTGAGCTAACGGGGAGGCCGTTCCTTTTTGTCTCTAGTTTTTATTACTAAGTCTATATCAAAGAAACTTCTTTTGGAAATCAAGATTCACTAATAATCAAAAGGTTTTGTTCACTTCATTCTAGTCTTTGGGACCCTCTGCCAATGTAATAATAATAATAATAAAAAAAATAAAAAAAAAACCAGAAAGGTCAGGAAACCACAACAAGCAAATTTGTATGCAACTGATCTTTGATGAAGTGTTGAAAAAAAATAGCTGAAAGCATCTTGAAACTAAAGCTGGAAATATTCCCCATAAGGATGAGGAAAACAGTATGACCAAACAAGAAGTTTCTAACTGCAGTACACATGCTGTCTCTTTTAAAATGGTTAAAAAATTCCAAATAATTGTCCAAATCCAAGGTCATTGACATCCAACTTGACAAGGGCCTTTAAAGACCGAGGAATATTAAAATATTGCCAAGCGAATATCATCTTTCCATAGGAAGTAAAGAACCTCAAATTCCAAAGTTTCCCGAAACTTCAGAATGATGAATCGTGTCTATCAGTGCAAAGAATTTTCCATACAAAAATTCCTTAGCTACATATCCAAATGAACTGTTGAAATGAGCTTACTAGAATTTGTACGTAAACAGCCTTAACGAAGAAGCAGCACGAAGACCAAAAGCTGCCGCAAAGAATGTTTAAATAATGTACATGAACTCACAACAAAAAAAGCCAAGATGCCCACAAGATAAAGCATTGTGCCTTGAAAACCAGTTCGAGTAACTTCTTAAATAAACATTGACATGATATATCAATCGAAGAAAACTTTCCTGTTTTAACAAAGAGTGTGCATGACTTAATGATAACAAATTTTTGCAAAATCGACAAAATCCAAGTCGGGATCAGGGGTAAAGGGCATATTCTTTTGTAACGCAATAAATGTTTGACAAGATCTCTACAAAATATGCCTAATCAAAATTCTTTGTTCGTTAATTATTTTGAGTCCTTTCCAGAAACATTTTTTTTTTTGCAATAAAACTGAGGTTAATATATTTTGAAATGGCAGTATTAACTGCAGAAAATGGTTTAGCTTTCTTGTCATTGCAGATCGCTGCATGACTTTACGGCCAATAACACAGTTGGAGAGAATTGGAACAAGTTAACGGTGAATATAAATATATTTCGATATTTCCTGTGTGAGTTTTTTCGGCTCATCGACAAAGTGTGTCAAACAAAATGCTGATAAAAGATTGTCACTGTTGAGAAAAATAAATAATTTTATTGCCCGTTATATTTCTCTACGAGTCAAAGGGTGCTTAGGGAAAATGCAAAACACAGGCTTCATCCACATCAAACTTCATTGAAGAACCACAGTGTACGTGTAGTTAAAGGCCATTATCATCTAAGTGTAAGACACGAGTATTAACGATCGTTCTACTAAAGTAAAGTAAACCTATCAATTCTAATAAAGGAGTAAGCCTATTTAAGAGTGATCATTTCAGAGAAATTAACGGAAATAAAGCATAGAAAATTAATATCGACCGTCTTGAGAAATTTAACGCAAACAGCATACGTTTTTCGCGACATGTTGTGATTGTCCTACCACAATCTTATATCGCGACCGCAAAAACAGAATTGACCAACTCTTACGATGATTTCTTTAGCAAGTTTTACAGAGAGGCCGGTTAGTTCCAGTACACTGAACTCTATTTCTTTCAATGAGCGAACTCATCGCTTGGTAAATAGTCAAACACTGGCCAACTTGGAAGTTTCAACTCATCGAAATTAACTTTTACAGTTGAATCTGTCGTATTTTCCTCTCACCTTTATGAGTCTAACCGTAGAGCCTTCTTTGACTTTTGAGTAAACCTTCGTTCCCTGTTTATCATACTGTAAATTCCAGCCTTCGACGCTGTCTGCCAGTCGACGAAAATGCTCAAAATCGCCTGCCTTAGCAGCGCGGACTTCACCAAGTTGCATCGAATCGTCACAAGTCACGAGTGTTACTTCTCTGCTTAAAGGTAATTCAATTGCTCTCCTTGCTGAAAGGAACTCTTGTTAAGGTAGATAGGGAATGAGATGAACTCGGAAAAAATTTATAGGGTGATTGCCAAATCGTACAAACACGACTTCTTACGCCCGTGGCTCGGTTATAAACTTCGGACTTCGCTACGGTTGATTTAAAACGTCACCCGAGCTCTGAATGTGTGATTAGATGACGTAACGCATTTCAGTCGGTCGGCCAATCAGAGAAGAGAACGTGAGTCGTGGGGTTAAGGATCAAGCACGTGGAGGAGACTTTCTACTTTACCTCAAACTGTGCAGTTTATTGCATAAAAATTGGAATTGTGAAACTGTTTCAGATCACAAAAGAGTACTATTAGAGGTAATAAGACGCGAAGGAGAACCCAGCTACCACAATAAATACTCTTTCTTGACGGCTGTGTTGGCTGTGCATCCGCCACCCACAAATTTAGGGTTGCTATGGCAATTTTTGCGCGGTTTGAGCATGTTAAACTGGTGTCACTAGCAGGTGAGAGAAGTTATTCATGCTCTTTAATTCTGAAAAGAGAAATGAATGCATGATGAAATTAAGCATGCCACAGAGTTTTTAAAACATTTTTTTTTTATTTACGTTTTTTCTGGACTTGTAACCCTAAGTGAAATTTGTATATGAATTGACCAAAATAAACTTCGGCAAAAATAGTTACTCAAGAATATATGATTTCATAACGAGGAAGTGGGTGGAAAGCCTGTGACGCACTTTGACGTCTTGCCAGCATCGAAAATTCTCGCTAATATTCGTTCAGACAAATTGTTTAATTTTTTATGAGATATTGAGAGCCTTGAAGTTTGAATAAAAAACAACCATCAACGAATCGGAAACAGAAGAAAAGAAATTTTGCTTTGGGAAGTTTGATTTTAACTTGGCAGTGTATGGTGAAACCCGCAAAATTCAAGTACGTATTTTCACTTGGCTTTAACGGTGCGTGATCACCGAAAAGAGTGATTTAACCAGCCTATACATATTTTCCGTTTAAAAATTGTATGGAAAACATAGCAATATAGCAAAAAAAAATCGATAAGAAAATTACACAATCGATCAATAAAAGTATACCGTTTACGCGTATGGAGATACAGAGATATGTGCAATTTACTCAGCTGAAAAGTCTTACAGTTTAAACGATGCTTGCAAGCACAACAGGTTGCAGTTACATGTATTCAAATTTAGTGTTGCCGACGTGTCATTAGTTACGCTTGAGTAGCGTTTATGGTATCTTGTTTCAGTTTTATTTTTACATCAATTTTCATAGCTTTAATAATCCATTGCAATAATTCAATTATTTGAGCGTAAAAAGCAACCTTATTTCGTTACTGTTACAGTTGGCTCGAATGAATGTTTATCTAGGCTCCCGAGACTTCTAAATTGCGCAATCAGTAATTGAAAAATATTTAATCACAACTAACTCGCAGCCCTTCCGGTGATGTCAAGTATAGTATACGTGTATGTGCATTTTTTAGATACACGCTTTTCGGAAAGAGCGCTATAAATTCAATCACTAATTAATTTTTCTATTTATCTTTTCCCTCTACTTTGAATGTTTTTAAAGCCAAGTTCAAGTTCGATAATGTGATCTGCAAATAAGACGCCATGCGCATGCTTGGTGTAATTTTTAGTCTGCCCACAAATACTTCATCCAACTCGGCTCGTTCACTTGACGTGGATTAAAATAACAGTAGTCCTGAAATTGAAATTTTTTCCTCTTCGGGAACTAATAGGTGAAACTTGAAAGAACTTTAAGTATAACGCTACATATGAATATATAACTTATCCCCAGTGAACAGATAAAAGGCTGAGTTCTCAGTTTGGATCAGGTAAGGCAAGCTAGTGTGAATTTTATTATGTGTTTTGCTTCAATAGTGTTATAAAGAAATAAACTGTAAAAGAATAAAAGACTGCAAGCTGAAAATAAATAAATAATTAATAAATGAAAAGTTAAGAAAAATTCGAACTGTATGGAGTTGACTCCAATGTCGCATGTGAATTTCCTTTCATAGCGCTCTTCCACGCGTGTTTTCTTTCACCGATTTGGGGAGGCCCATTTTACTAGACAGTTTGTATGAATTCGAACTTTCTTTTCTGTCTATCACTGAGCTTAGTCTCCCCCCGATATGAATGTAAGCGTCTGTTTGTGTGAGCGTTTTTTGAAACCGTGTGCCTGATTACATTGATATGTCCGGAGAATTTGCTTAGTCAGTGACGAGTAAAACAGTTTTGCGTGTGGATGATGTCATTTAAGTCTAATTGAACTCGCTTAGAGAGTTTTGATAAAGCTCTCTAAATTATCTCCGTAATATGATCTACTATTTCAGTGCCACGAATCTTGCTCGTTCGTATTCATTTGGTAATATTTTTCCCCGCTAGTTGCCCCGGCTTCACTCAAAGAATAAAATCTCATACTTTTCTCTAGAAAAAATGGTTAAGTCTGAGAAAAATCTTTTCAAAACACGAAGGAGAGGCTAGGCGAGTAGGCCACGTACCTTCAATAAAAGCTTATCTGATCGGTAAGACTTTCTGGTGTATTCGTGATCGAAACTGTCATATATGTGAACGTACGTGAGTTTGGGCAAGTGCTGACTGGTTCTCTTCTAGACGCTCCTAAAATTTCTGAGAGATTGAAAGCGATGGAAACCTACCTGATCTTTGAAAATTTTTTTCCGAGTGCTCCTGATCACTTTTTGGAAATAAGTGAATAAACATTTGATATTACGAATTAGGGAACCAACCAAGGGTGTCTCGAAACTTCAGACCTCGAAACTTCAGACCTCAGACCTCAGACCTCGGAACTTCAGACCTCGAAACTTCAGGGATTCGAGGTCTGAAGTTTCGAGACACCCAACCAACCAACTTCTTGAGAAAGCTTATTCAAAGCAGATCGACCTATGAAAATTTAATTTTCCATCGATTGGGATCGTGATTGTTAATCAGATAAAAATTATGAGAATGGGTCACGGAACTCCAGATGTTTTTTAAGTTTTAACATTCGTATGAAAGTAACTAAGCAACAATTTTATTTCTCAGCTATTCATTTATCTTGTGACGGTACAAAAACCGCATCCATTTCTGTAACATCCATGCGTGCATCCAGCCTTGATTTCGATAGAGGAAAAGGTTTAAGTCTCATGCGGATTTCAGGTGATCTGTTGTTGTAATAGGCTTTTGGCACGAACAAGTCTACTTGAGGATTCGAAAGTGATATGCGTTCTAAGTGTGCTTTTGTTATTTAACCACTCTCTCACGTGAGTGGAGCGCCGCAGTCACGACTGACGAAAAAATTGCCCGTTGAAGAACAACCCCATGCGCTCACTTCATCTAAGCCATGTCACCCAACCAGAGATTATAAAGTCATACTATCTTGTTAGAAACTATTCCGGCTTCCTTCAAAAAAACGAAAGGTCTCATGGTACCCCAATGTACAGTAGGCGTGAGCTAACCGGTCTATATTTTTTACCTGCTAATTTGGTTTCATTGACTGGTTGACTGATTGACGGGATTACTGGTTACTGACTGGCGAGTGACTATGTGACTGATTGGTTGACTGACTCACTGGTGCGTGATTGGCTATTTGACTGGGTTACTGACCTGTTGAACGACTAGTGACTGAGTGGCGGTTGATAATGTGAATTAGACACGGTAGAGAGTATTTGAGTGTTAGCCCCATTCTTTCCTAGAGGCAATTACCTTATGCGATAAAACCGTTCGAGTCTGATCTGGAGCCTCAGTGTAAACTAAATGGAACTGACCCAAGTTTGCGAACGATAACTATATCTGTAATTCAAACAGCTCGTTATTCCCTGTACGTTGTGGCCGACCACGGGTTATCATATGCAAAACTCGTGCAGTCATAATTTTAATAGCCGGCATGCACTAAGTCTTCGCATGATATCTTATGATTATAGTTCAAGTTGCGTCAGACGTTAACACTGATGTGTTTCTGTTCACGTAAGGATAAACAACCAGAATGTGGTTCGAGACGTGCCTGTAACATTTTAGGTTTTTGTGAAGTTTTAAACCAAATTAGGCCATACCATATTATCTTGGCCATATCTAATTTGTCATTTTTTAATTGGACGGTTTTAACTGTCACAATCGAAATCTAAAATCAAAACTGCAGAATTCCCGACTCCAAGAGGGTGACTGCTACTGTAGAATATTGATAAATGAACAATTTTCCCGAGTTCCAAGTCTATGGAGTTTTCTGCGGATGTGTTATCCGCCAAAATGTCTGACTTAAATGTAAAGAGCTTAGTTCGGGGACGCCATATCTGTGCCCATCCAAGGAGTATTAACATGGCGGTTGATAATGTGAATTAGACACGGTAGAGAGTATTTGAGTGTTAGCCCCATTCTTTCCTAGAGGCAATTACCTTATGCGATAAAACCGTTCGAGTCTGATCTGGAGCCTCAGTGTAAACTAAATGGAACTGACCCAAGTTTGCGAACGATAACTATATCTGTAATTCAAACAGCTCGTTATTCCCTGTACGTTGTGGCCGACCACGGGTTATCATATGCAAAACTCGTGCAGTCATAATTTTAATAGCCGGCATGCACTAAGTCTTCGCATGATATCTTATGATTATAGTTCAAGTTGCGTCAGACGTTAACACTGATGTGTTTCTGTTCACGTAAGGATAAACAACCAGAATGTGGTTCGAGACGTGCCTGTAACATTTTAGGTTTTTGTGAAGTTTTAAACCAAATTAGGCCATACCATATTATCTTGGCCATATCTAATTTGTCATTTTTTAATTGGACGGTTTTAACTGTCACAATCGAAATCTAAAATCAAAACTGCAGAATTCCCGACTCCAAGAGGGTGACTGCTACTGTAGAATATTGATAAATGAACAATTTTCCCGAGTTCCAAGTCTATGGAGTTTTCTGCGGATGTGTTATCCGCCAAAATGTCTGACTTAAATGTAAAGAGCTTAGTACGGGGACGCCATATCTGTGCCCATCCAAGGAGCATTAACATGGCGGTTAAGAAGTAACGCAAACATTTGTTGTCTTGTTTCGCCACTAAAGTGATTGGTTGTCTACGGTCAATTACTGTAAACTTGCGAATATTCATCTAACACATTTATAATGTTTCTGGTCCCCAGGGAACAAAATGT